CACATATTGGAGAAAAAGGTTCCGTAGATCTAGAAAATCTGGCTCCTGAAACACTGGGGGAAATTCGCCGAAATTCGTACAGTTTTTGTAGAGACTTTCTAAAAATTTGAGGAGTATTTTATCAAATGCGAGAGTTAATTATAGGTGTTAATTAAAGTGTGATCTGGTATAAAAGACACTGTAGGGTACAGTTTCAAAATTGTATACATAGTGTGAAAGTATAAGTATGAAAGTATACTTTTAAACTACATCACCTTATTTGTACTTTATGAACAAAATCAGCTGTAGATTGTGTTATTGCTCTTGTTTTTTCCACAAGTATATGACGTGCGCAAGACACCTCCAATGTCTCACGCCGGCCGGGCGCTTCGCCGGCCGGCCGCTTCGCTTCTACCCGCCGGTGGGAAGGCAGGCTCGCAGTTTTCCCTGAATCATGATAATCCACGTCGCCCTCGCGCCTACTGCTGCCTACCGCGCCCCGCCCGTGGCACGGATGCGCGCTCTCGTTGCTGAGCAGGAACAAAAACATTTCCATCGCGATGGGGTCGGCGAGTGTGGATCAAGGACGTGTGGTGTGTGCATGAAGGGCGTCGGCGCAATGTCACAACTGGAAATCCAAAGTGCACCAATAAATGTCACACCGTGGGGCAAAACACTCACAATTATAGTAAACCATAGAGATTCGTACATTTAAAAAGGCTGTGACCGTTTTACAGGGGTGGGTGAGCACTACTGACAATCACCGAATATCTTGAAAGAACCAGGTGGCTGATTCACGCGGCGCACTTCTGTAGGTATACTGTACCGACCGCATGCACGAGTGCGGGCGGCGCCTTACGAGCCGAGGGAGTAGGCAAGCCCGCCCGCACTCGTGAATGCGGCACAGTATACCTACAGAAGTGCGCGGCGTGAACCAGCCACCTGGTATGTATGTTTTTCTTAGATTCATTATTCGGCAAGTTTTCGGCAGTTCGGCGCCTGTGAGACTAGGGGTAGACTACCCCGCAGCACACTTATGCATGGCACACAAAGATGTTGCCTACCTAGCAGGCGCTCTGGGGGCTTCTTTCAGCTGAACTAGGCAGGTTCGCAACCGTGAATAACGGACGTACTTTCTAGATGAGCTCTCAAGCAGTCACCAGATTTCCGATTTCTTACTCTAGTACAGAGGCCAGTGTGCGACGCCTGCTATATGTTTAGCGTGACGATGTCCTTTTCGGCGCGGCTCTCAGTTTTGTTTGAGTCTTTGTTTCGTGCGTATTGAACCCGAGTTGCTGCCCACCATCTCATCTCACCATCCATATGTCACGATGTCACACCATCTCTCAGTGCGCGTGCATGTCCACGACGGCAGTGACCCGCGGCGGCTCGTGCTGTTGCATTTACCATATATAGAAGTACTCTGGGACCTGTCATCTTGTGTTTGGGCACGGAAAAAAGATATTTGTTCCGCCACCCAACTACAACGAGTTTGTCAGCAGATTATTTTTATTTGCAGGAGCAAACAATTATTTGCTATGGGAACTGACATTCTGCTACACAACAACTACTACATCGCTGGGATAACCGACGCATTTATAGGAAGAAAAAAATCATAATTTACTAATTGAAACAGTAGCATTTGTTACTATAGCATTGGGTTTGTTGTGACAGCGGAATTTTGCTTCCCATATCAAATTGTATCACTGTTAAAAATAAGCTACTTGTAAGTTTACAGGAAAATTTTTCATGATGTGATTCCGTAAAATTACAACTTGAAGTTGCAAAATTACAGTCACTTCCAATCGACTGGGAATTATTCGAGGAGCAAAAATGGTCCACCGTAAATTAATAACATTATTTTGTAATTCCAAATTAGAAGAAATGTCGTAACGTGACAAAAAATAATTTCACAGTGCTGCACCTGCAAATAAAATTGTTTGTTATGTTTATGTTAACAAAATAGTCAGTTGCGGGAACAAATACTTCTCTCTCTCTCTCTCTCTCTCTCTCTCTCTCTCTCTCTCGCTCCCTCTCTCCAATTGTCTGCTCCGCGTGACGCCGCCTCGCGACGTGCAAATTGATGCCGTTTGTTGGCGCAATTAGAGGAGCTATAAATTTATCGGCCATCGACGCGCATCGCGTCTGCAGCGCATCCGATGAGGCCGCGCTGCGATGCAGATTATTTGTATAACGCCACCCGTACCACCGAGACCGACGACCAGAGTGGGAATTATAATTATATCGTCGTTCCTATTGATGCATTTTGATTAATGTTTCAAGAAATGCAAATCTTCCTACCACGAAATAATCTCCCCCCCCCCCTTTTCTGTATTTGCTACTGCACGGGTACCATGCTACTATATGTGTACACAACCTGTTTTTGTTTTGTTTTTCACAAATGTCTCATTCGTAAAACAAATTCTATTCGACCGGTAAGGAAATGAATTAAAATCATAATCAGTTCGTGCAGTTTTCGTTTTGTTTTGAAGTTGTCGAGTTTGAACTTGGCGCGCGTTTGGTGGGTCGCTGTTAGCGCGCCTAGAGGGCAGCACGCGTCGCGGCTCGACCTTCACGCCGCCGGGCACTCTGGTCACATGAGTCACTGGCACCTGTGCGGACCCGCGGTACAATTAGTGCAGCAATGTGTTTATGTAATAATTATTGTGAGCGAAATAATGCCGGTGATGAGCAGCCGGTGAGCCCGCCGGTGCGCCCGACGGTAAAGTGAGCAGCCTGTGAGCCGCTGGTGAGTCACCTGGTGCGCTGGGTGCCATCGAGGTCAGCTGGTGAGAGAGAGAGAGACTTGACCCCGCAAAAGTCAGCTGTTGAATGGGAGAGATGCCCCGCAAAACTCAGTTGGTGAGCGGTGAGCCACCGTTAATTCAGCTGGTGAGCTTATTGGGCCGCTGGCGAGTCAGCTGGTTGAGCCACAGGTGAGCAGGATCAGGTGGAGCCGGTGCGCGGCGGCCAAGCAAGCCCCCCCAGCCTCCCGGAGTCGCTTGGGTTGCCTGCCCGTCGGGCGCGGCTGTGGCGCCCGATGGGCTGCCAGACCTCCACGGCGGTGGCGCCGTGTGGACGACACGGTGGTGGCAGATGTGTTGCCAGCCTCCTGGGCGGACCATGGTGGCCGCGGGAACACATAGCTGCAGCGGCTTGTGGAGTACAAACACTGTGAAAAATATTGTCGTAAATTTACAAAAAAATTGTAGACTCGAATTATTAAAGTTGTAAATTTACGACAGCGAATTTTTTTTTACTCGCCAAGCGATTTATAGTCGATACATACTGCATGTAGTTTTACGATTTCAAATTGTAATTTTACAACTTGTGTCAAGGAAAATTTTCCTGGAAACCTACCTACTTTTTTCACAGTGTGTGAAAGCGTGAAACACCGAGCGTCACAGAGAGATATTGTGTGACAACTGTGTTACACACAGATATTGTGTGACAACTGTGTTACACACAGATATTGTGTGACAACTGTGTTACACACAGATATTGTGTGACAACTGTGTTACACACAGATATTGTGTGACAACTGTGTTACACACAGATATTGTGTGACAACTGTGTTACACACAGATATTGTGTGACAACTGTGTTACACACAGATATTGTGTGACAACTGTGTCACACAGAGATTTTGTGTGACTCCTTGGTGTCACTCAGAAAGTGCGATACGGCCGTCACACTCAGGTGCCGTACCTTTAGAACTCGCGCCGGATGGGCTGCCTGGCCGCCCGGCGCTGCGCGGGTGGCGGCTTGGAGAGCTATTTGAGTTTCCCCTCTCTCTCTCACGGGGGAGCGGGGGCGGCGGCGGCCTCCTCCTCTTGGCGCAAGCGGGCGCAAGTCTGCTCCTTGTACTTTGTGTCTGATTGACGTCTCTTGTGTTGCAGCTGGCGTGGCCGACCCTGCGAGCGAGGGCGACGATGTGCTCCACCTGCTTAACTCGACGGGTGAGTACAGCAGCGGCGGTGCGGTGCGGCTCGAGAGGGGGAGCAGCTACTAACTTTTCTCGTTAAGAGTGACGTCCTGGAGGGGTATGTGTTTGTCGTTTCGAGGCCGTGCAGCGGCAGCTCTGCAACAGATGACGTACTGCAACACCGAGTAAAACAGGACCCGTACCGGATGAGACGTAACGCGTTTTCGAGCCAGTCGTTTCAAAATTTGCGAGAACCTAGCTCTTTTAAAAACTAGTTTTTTCATAAAAATGGAAGCTCTATTTTCAGTTTTACTTATTTCTAACCCTCTCCAATTAATTCAAAGCAAATGCTTTGCAGAAATTTAAAAGAGTCAGTGACAGCAGAGACGAAAAAAAAAAAGGAAAAGAATCCAAAGGAAGTCGGTACAACAGTCAGTTCAGTGCCAGTCTGTGTCGCGTCGGTTGGGTTGCATACCCTTTCGGCGTCGAGTTGGCGCACATGCGGGGCTTCCCTGGCGGCCCCGTCGCGCGGCTCCCCACCCCCACCCATCCCTGAGAGTCACAGTAGACGCTAGGCAAGGGTGCAGAAAGGTTTCCATCCTTTCATTTTTTTGTTTTTAATGATTTTATGGGAGCAACCAGGAGCGTCGCATCGCTGTCTTGTTATCTTTATTTATTGGGAATTCCACCCTGTGATTAAAGACAATCCCCCTTTCGCAAACCTCTCATTCTTTGGTTTCCTTACGCATCGTTATTATCAGCAAAGAAATAAATGATAGGCCGGGGTAAAAACTTTTAGAATGATTGCTGTCCTTGCGAACGATGATCAAAATATCGTTGAAAGGTGGCAAATTCCGGTCCGCCCCTCTGTCCCCCTTTGTTTTCGGAGTCAATCCTCCCTCTATTCCTTATTAACTTCGCTAGGGACGCCGGATCGGTTTTATTTTCTCGATGGAATTCGGCTCTTGTAGATCCAGGGGCAACAAGTATTTCATCAAGCATTTCAACGTAAGCAGTCGTTTTTGGTCTACCCCACAAATACAAATACGAGTTGCGGCCCCCTCGTATCTTGCAATACTCCTGATTTTGATTTTATCACATGTAACTTTTTCTATGTATTTTGTTCTTACTTCTTTGATAAAATCGTATCTCGTGGTTCTCATTTCTGTCGGATCCCAACTCATTCATTTCTGTCACTCTAAAGTAGCGACTGGCTAAGAGCCAGTAAACTACTCCCACTCTAATGCTAAGGCTGCCCACCGTTAGGTTAAAGCAAATTGGGGGGAGGAAGGGCGAGCAATGAAATTTGAGACTAGACTGTAAGTGATCTGGAACTGATTGTGTAAAATTATTTTTATCACATTTTATTTATTTACTACTATAAATTTGACGGGTTTCTTCACCTTTTTTTCCAGACGGGGAGCTGTCGGGGTCGCATCTCGGTAAGTCTATTAAAAAATAAGTGTTGAACACCAACAACAACAACAACAACAACAACAACAACAACAACAACAGCAGCAGCAAGGGACAGATTTAAATTAAAACGGGAAAGATGCATTTTTCGTCTAACTCAGACACGCTGTGTTGGACGTTATTGTACCTCGGCAGAGAGGCCTCAGACGTTTAGCTGGCGCGACACTCCCGCCCCCGCCCCTGTTCTACCCGTCCCTCCCTCTCTAGACGTCCACCTCACCGTCTTACCAAAAAAAAAAAAATTGTCCCAAGTCACACGTTTCGTCCCCTGCTGTGCCCCCTTCCCCTCCGCCACGAGGCCAAGATTAGCATCATGCTTCATGGGAGATATAATTTCTACTCCGTACACTTTTCTCTCGGCGATGTTGCACGTGTTGCACTACTTGTTTATCTCCTTTTTGCCGAGATCATCTCTTTATATACCTTTTTCTCTACTTTTTTCTCCTACTCGGTGGACGGGCGGCGGCGCGTGGCTCGCTGCACTCGGTATCCAAGAAAGATAAATCAACGACTATATACTTCTGCAATTCACTGCGCCCCAGAGAGGTCAGAGGTCAAACTTGTGGAAGAGACTGCTCGCTCGTTTGCAGTCTTCAAGGATCTTTTCTCATAAAAAATTAAAATGAGAAATAAGAATGCTATCAAATTACGTATACTTAGCGACCAATGTGTATTATTATACGATTGTATTGTACTGTACTGTAATGCATCAGCATCAGCCTACCCCCACCTTTTCTATTTCTTTCATTATTTTTAAATTTTGGCGCCCGGTCAGCAATGAGCGCCCGGCAATAATAATAGAAGTGAGAAGGATCGAGGGCCCCTCTAAATTTTTCGCGCCGTCATCGAGCCTAAACGGTAACTGTGATTGCTCCCCGGGAAATAAGACAGACGGCCGGGCGCGGACAAGACAGACGGTCCGAGAGGCTGGTTGGCAACAGAGTCAAATCCGCACCGACCCAGGCCGGCCGCGGGCGGCTCTGGGCGTGACCCCCAAGTCTTCAGCGATAGATAGTATTGGAAGGAGCGGGGGTGGGTGGGTGGTAAGAGCAAATGGGAGGCTGTGACTTTCTCTCATTGACCTCCTATCGAAAGGTTTTGGCCTCATGAGTTCACAGCGTGTCGCCATGTGGTGCCTCCCCCCC